TGAGGATCCCCTTTGGAGGATCAGGAGGAAATCTTGAATATAGAGAACCAAATCCTCAATCAACAAAATACATATCAATCGATTGGAAATCATTAGTACATCTCGAAAATATAATTTATTTTATGTTTTGAAATCTCTCCTTTACCTCTTTTGGTCAATTAAGACAATTAAGGATGACACTATAGGAAAAGTTACCAATCTCAAAATAAATGATAATATCGAGTTCTACATCTCAAATAAAGTGTACTTTCATCAAATTATATAATTTCATTTCAAGAAATACATCCGGTAGATAGTACATGGTGGTATTTCAATGGAATGGCTGGAAATCTGAAAGATATGGAAACAACTCCATTTTCACTGAAATTAATATCATGATATGTAGACACTCTAATTAGCATATGGTATCAATTTCATGAATATTGGCTCAGTAGATATTGAGTCGACAACTCTATCATTTTACTATAGAACTTTGACATAAAATCAAAGACTATGCTCCAAATCACTTATTTTATATGTAATTAGTCTAGAATTGATAACACACATTCTGTACACCATTTATATACATCTATACAAGTTTAAAAACAATTCATGATATTTTCATTCAGTCAATCAGTTAATGTTCAATGTCAAGAGTGATTATATCCAAGTGTACGCTCTATCTCAGCGAAAGTACATCCTATCATCGTGTAACTTTACCATGTACGTTTAATCACGCTGTTATACATATGGTATCAGTTTTAGTCTGTTAGAATTGAATTCAGTATGATAATAATAACAATCTGTCAAATTGTCACATTTCAACATATAGAATGTATACCATCTCAGTCAATTTACAAAATATCATACTTGTAGCATATATGAATACACTCCCCTTGATGAGGAGAACAATCTGTGAAAGTTTCATATTGATGGATCAATATCTTCAAGTCAACTAAGGAAGAATTATATTTCCAAAATTAAATTTTACCATCATATCAAAATCGTTGAATAATGAATTATTTATACAAGAATAATATATTCAATTGTTCTTCTCATGTCAGTAATCAGTGAAGGTGACACTTCATCAACCTTAGTTTTCACATCTCAATATCTAGACTGTCAATTCGACTGAAACTTGAAATATTACCTATCTAGATGATATAATGATGACTCTCCATAGTAACATGCATGTGAAATTGAATGTTGACACTTTTCATCTTGTTATATTTATAGAGATGGTATCCAACAGAGTCAGTTCATAATATTAAATATTGAAACTCATTCTATATGACATGTTTGATGTATAGAACGGTTTTTTATTGAATGTAATCAATTTGAAATAATTTGATGAAATTGACACTGTCAGGTCACCATTACAAGACAAATAGACCATAGTTTACATTCCATCTCAGTCATTTCAACGAGTTATTGATTAACTCCACCACCATTATGTTTCTCACACGCTCTAGTACAATTAATATTTCAAGAGTGAGTTCTGTGGAAGACTCTGTAAGAAATAATACCATATATATAGTAATATCAATAAACTAAATTGAAGAGTTAATTCTTCTCATTTTCAAATAGATTATTCAATATAGAACAAATCTAGATAGTTTCCAAATCATAAAAGTCAAGCTACTATATATGGTCTTTGATTAAATTTAAAAATAGACTGCCGTTGATTACTGGAATATTAATTCAAAGCTTGATGATCAAGTTTTGATTGAAATCAAACCGATTATTGAATATTGATCATTGAATTGGTGAATAATCACTCTTGATAATGATACATATTGAAGATTGATGCAAATCAACGTGATTCAATCTACAAAGGTTGGTAGTTGCACCACTACGTGGCGAAACTACCCATCCACGATCAATCAACATGTGATTCACTTCCATTCAACTCAATTTGACCGTTATGATCAATAAATCAATGAAATGTTCCTTTATTAGCAATACCCTTTCAATCTAATGAGTAGATTCACGTCCCAAACATTTGAATTCTCAAAGTCCATATTTCAAAAGTTGATACTGACCTGACCTTTAAATATCTATCAATATAAGAAATGAAACCATCAAATTTACATCATTAATAGATGATAAGAAATATAATCAATGATATGAATCTTCACTAAGTAATCTCTTAAATAACCCAAATAAATCAACTCTGAATCCTAACCAAACCCAACCATGTGATTCACTTGGATGGAACTCAATTTGACCGTTATAATCAATAAATCAATGAAATGTTCCTTTATTAGCAATACCTATTCGATCTAATGAGTAGATTCACGTCCCAAACATTTGACTTCTAAAAGTCCATATTTCAAAATCTTTAATCAATAAGAGATTGGAGTAAGATGTATCCGAGGTTCGGTTACAATCCAAAGGTTCCAAGGTTGATTCACCAAACGGTATCTCAATTGAGCTTTAATCCATTTGTCTTAATTTATATTTTTTTATTCTTAAAATATATTAGATTAGAGTAATGACATTGACGAGTCTGATTGGTGGATAGATATTAAAGAGCTATCCATAATTTTGGAGGGCTGTTTGATATTATGCGAATGCAAGCCATTGCTTTCATTGTATGGATTAATCTTTGGTTTTCTTTTCTTAACACAATAAACACAACATAACAATGCAACAACACCAGATAATATAATAATCAATGATCCACTAGGGATAACAACAGAAAGAATAATAATAATGATACTACTATTATTCTGAAGTTTCGAGGATTTGGGTGGTGAACGAGATTTTTTCAAATCCTTAATAACAATGAGATTTTCTATTTTCCATGATTCAAAGTTACAATTGCAAGTTATTGAATTGGTAGCACTATCACGCCCAAAGACTGTACACATACTTGTATCATACTCTAAATCTGGTTGAATAATAATACAAGAATATAATGAGTCCTCACTTGAGATGAATTCCTCGTCGTTGATGTGAACATTAACAGCAATCTTGTTAGGTAAATCAGCGGTTAGCAATTTAGGGGAAGAAAGTGAAAAGCTGACACTCTGTGGTGATACTACTATTAAGGATGAGATATTCAAATCTTGTTCAATTATTTGTGTGAAAATTGTGGGAACATGATCTTTCATCACAATACAATATGTCAACTCTGCATACTCATTAATTTCAGTAAACTCAATCGATGGTATTTTGACATAAGCTTGATAAGAAATAACTCTTTCTTTGGTTGGAGGAGAGGTCACAATAGATGAAGAAAAATCTGTTAAATAAACCTTGTCTGCCTTTACATTAGCAACCTCTTGTTGCAGAGCAGCTGGATCAACAGACACTGATTGGACTTGAACGAAGGAAAGAACATAATCTTTAGCAATTATTGCTATGGACTCGTAGTGTTCGAATTGATCTCTCAACAATTTCATCTTTGAAACTTGTGTGCTAAGAGTACCAATAGTATTCATCAGTGGTTTGAATGACTGAGAGAATATATCTACCTTACTCTTAATTGTCAATTGTATAACATTGTTAAGAACTGTAATTGATTTTCTAATGACTGGAGTTTCCATTATATTCTCACTTTTAATCATTGCATTCACAGCTAAAATTGTGATTGCTGATGATTCTGGAGCAGAATCCTTACCAGCAGTTTGAACTGAACTAGCCAAGGTATCTAGTAACTTGGATTGAATTGAGCTGATAATTGATGAATCCTTAGAAGTTGATGGCAGACTTTGGAGCAGTTGAGTGGTTGAAATAACAGTGTTGATTGTTTGAGAAACGCTCCTACTTGTATCACCATCCTTTACAAAGGCGGAAATAAGGTTTGTTTGATTCGAGACTTGCTCCATTATTTCAGATAAACTTGAAACAGTATCTGGTCTAACGGTAACGATAGACTTCATAAGTCTTGATTCACCTGTATTGGTGTCAATCAATTCAATGAATAAAGTAACAGTTTCATCATTCAAAGAGGATGGAATGGAAGGTATTTTCATTGTGGAATCTTGTGACAGTGGAACAGAAACTTTAATTCCAGTTTCCCTATCAATGTATCCTTGTTTGATTTCAATTGTGTTGTCTTCGTTTTGACAATTATCACAACTGAATGAAAAGTCAGTCTTCATTGAAATACCAGTAGAAGGAGAGATTTTACAAGGACACTTCTTTGGGGGTTGGGATTTTACAAAATTGTTGAACACTTCTGAGGCTGCAATTTCATCATGGTTCTTATTTACAAACGAAACTTTGAGTTGAATTGAATGTTTCATTCCATACTCTAATTCTTTTGAGTCAACAATGATAGAACTTTGTTGATTCTTGTTAACAATCTTGATGTTGCTATATGGAGAAGAAATTGTGGAGGATATTGTTTGAATTTCATTAGAAACTTTTGAGGTTTCACATTCAGAAACAATTGTGCCATCAATTTTCCATTGAGTTTTCACTGACAGAGTTGAATCTGCTGGATCTTGGTCAGGATGTTTAATCTCTATGGATATCTTGTCATTGTCATTAATTTTTGTTTTCAATTTAGGTGAAATATCAATAACATTAACAATTGGAGGCGGATGAGAAATTTTCAAAGTGATGGAACTGGAAACAAATCTTTTTCCTTTTGTAATTGTAAGTGTGAATGTTGGATTAATTAATTGATTTGAGAAATCCTCTTTTGCCACCACAACAATACTAGAACGGTCTTTTGCGTATTGATACATTTTCTCAACTATGAAATCTCCACAATAACCAAATGTTTCTGAATCAATACAGGTCCAACTCCAAACTTCTATTTCATCTGTATTATTCTCAGGATCTTGAAAATTAATTTGTAGACAAGATTGAGAAGCATTTGAGTTCTTTGTTAGTATAAGTGAAAGTGTGAGGGATGGTTGTTCAGTATTAATTATTACAGTATCACTTGAGGTTAATGAAGGATTTTCAACAGAATAAATTGAAACTTTGAAGCTATAGACACGTTTTCCAGTTGAAAATTGTGGGATCAGTAAATTATTGTACGAATCCTTCTCAAATTTGATTGTCGGTCCTGCAACAAGTTGCCACTCAACCTTCATTTCCTTATCTTTCAATAAAGAAGGAAGACTTGTTGTCTTTTTAATAATAACTGACTTTTCAGTTGAGAGCATAACCAATTCCTTTTTTCCTGAAATAACAACTGAGGGAAATTCAACATTTTGTATTTCAATATTTTCTGAGGACTGGGAGCTAACTAATTTGCTTACTTGGCTTTTTACAATCAAATTTATGGTATAAAAACCACTAGTTAATTTTCCCTTATCAATTTTAAGTATTGGATCTCGAATCAGTCTGATGGACTGCAATAAATTACTACTAATATTTCCACTAACATCCCAATAATATTCTAATCCTTTCTTGTCTCCTGAAAAACTATTTGCACCACTGATATGAACATTTTCAGAAGTTGAATAGAGTTTCTTTGTAGTTTGGATAACAGAAATTGGTAGCTGCATTTCCTCTGACAAAATTAATGACAATCCAATAAAATCAGCTTCCTTGGATTTTGAAAATACGTTAGTGTTCAATCTAATACTTTTTGTTTGAGAAATATCAAAAATGAAGTCATTATCAAATTCAATTTTGAAATTTCCAGTCTCCTTGTCAGTCCAATAACATTTTGGTTCAGAACCTAGTAAGGCCAGATCGTGGGAATGAATCAATAAAGAACACATTACTGAATTCATTGAATAAGATGAAGGTCCAAACAACTTGAACAATATTCCATCAAAATATTTTGATATTTGACCAATAATATTTGATGTTGATGAAGAATTGAATGAAGAGAAATAGGTTGAACATTCACTTCCAAAATACCCTTTCAAACAAGAATCACAATTAGGACCATTCCAATATCCCTGTTCTCTATCTGCATAACACACACAAGTGCCTGTGGAATCACATGCTCCATGACCAAGACATGTAGACTTTTCATTACATAAGACTTTACAATCAGATCCATAATGATCAATTATACAATTATCACAAATAATTCCTGTAAAATTACCAGAACAAGTACATTGGTTATCACCTCCACATACACCATTCACACAAGTGGAAGCAGAACAAGCTTTTTCAGTGCAATGAATTCCAGAATAACCTGGATGGCAGGAACTACAACTTGGGCCATAATAATGACCATTTGAATCATCTAAACACTGACACGTATCCATGTCTACACACTTTCCTTTCCCTGAGCAAACATTTGCATCATTCTTTGGTATTGAAAAACAGCCAAATTTCTCACAACTTTCTCCAAAGTATCCAGATTTACAAGAGCAACCTTCTGGATTGGTTGAGTTAAAAGTACATTTTCCGTTTTTAGAACATACTCTTGGGTCATTACTGTCTAAAAAGTACTCTACACCATTATAAATGCTTTTGCAAAGCAATTGCTCACAAGACAATCCTGATATTTTAACTTTAGAGTCAGAGAAACATTGACATGTGTCAGTTTCAACACAACGGCCTCTTCCATTACAAACACTTGGATCAGATGACAGAATTCCATAACAAGAATTCATTTCCTTAACTATTTTTCTTACTTGATTAAACTCTACTATCACATAGAAATCCAAAGTAGAAACATAGCTAAAAAGTAAAGTATCTTTCTCGAAATTAAAGTTATTGTCCCAATATCTAGTTATTTTTGTGTCCAATGAATATTCCTTGATTGCATAACTTCCTTCATTTTCATAATCAAAATAAAACATTTGTTCATTCTCAATGTAAAAAATTTCTTGATTAAAATTCTTTTTAAAGGTGAATATTAATATTGATAATCTCACTTACAGAAATTGATAATGTTAAACTTCCAGTATACAAGTCATACACATAAAGACTACCACCGTAGCTGTAATAAATTTTACCATCATTCATACTGAAGGTGTCAACAGTCGGTTGTGGAATATCAAAGAAAAAAATTAAACCATTCAGTGTAATTTTACCCAATCTTTGAGTATACCAACTTGGCAATAAAAAGTAAAGTTCATCTTCGAATAATTCAAGCTTAATAGGACCGTAAGACTTTGTTTTAAAAACAAGTGTTAATACTGCCTTAATTTAACCATACTCACATTGAAATGACAGCTTGTTGCTAATGAACCATTAACACAAACAATATTATAATTAGAAGAACCTAGAATATAAGTAAGGTTCGGACCAGACAGTAACTTGATCATATTATCATCCACTAGACATGGGTCAGTAACTTGAAACTTGAAAACATACCTATAAATATTCCCTTATCAGTACTATGAATAGACCTAATGTTTGAGAAGCAAATATCGGTGGAAGCTTCTGGATAACCACCAACAAAACTGAGAGCATTTGTTGAATAATTAAGGAATTTGATACTCCTTCTATCAGCTATATACAAACCAGTGTCATCGAAAGATGAATCAGCGGCATAAATTGAGAGTGGAAGAGTTTGGATATCCACTTCTTTCTTGCAATCAATAGTTGTGGAAAAATTTCCCCCAGACAACTTTTGTATGTTACAGAGCTTATTGTCCGCAAAATAAATATCACCCTTAGTTTCATCAACTGCTGCATATGCAATATTAGGTTTTCCAGATAATCCGTTGAATTTAAAATCAACAATTAAGGAACCATTAAAACATTCTAACCAGTTCATAGAAGATCCAAATTTTAAAGTGGTTAACCACATTTGACCGTTATTATTGAATATTTTCTGCAACCTATTCTTTGTAGTCTTGAAGAAAATGTTATGCTTTATAACATTAAGAACTTACTAAGTACAATTCTCCATTACAAAATTGTAACGAATGAATCTGTTCGAATAATGAGTTAGACAATGCAACATCAAAAAAACTACTTGAAACTCTGCAGTTACCAGCATAAATGCTTACTCTACCTGTTTTAGCGTCAATTTTTCTTATACATGTAATTTCTAAAAGAAATAAAATTCTTTGATTAATTGTCCAGTATACATACCTCCAATATAAATATCTCCCGTGCTTTTGTCTATTTCCACAGAGGTGATATCATCTGAGATTACTACCTTTAAAGGGTCAGTAATTGTGGCATCAGAGTCAGTTCCCCATCCATTACCAAATACCCTTGTTATTTGATTTGATTTTAAATCTAATTTGTTAATAAAACAATTTTCACTCCAAATTAAACTATCTTTCCATCGTTGTAAGTTCCGTACTAATCCAATTTGAGATGTTAAGGGATTGTTTGTATGAATACTTCCTTCTTTTCCTGAACCAACCTGAGATGATTGTTGTATAATTTCTAATTAAGCAAGAAGAATTACATACCACTGTTGAAATAATTCCTGTAGCTAGAGTTATTTTCCTTATTCGATAACTCTCATAGAAATACAAAATTCCAGCCTCACCATCCATAAACAGAGAGGAATCTGGAAATATATTGGTGTCGGAACTTGATATATTACCAGCAGGTAATATTCCAGCAATAATTTTTGATTTAGGTGAGTATGGTTGAATTGCCAAACAATTGCCACTGATAATCATCAAACTTCCTATCAAACACAACAACAAGCAATGACGCAAAAGCATGTGTTGATCTGAGAGTGGATTTGCCATCTCAATGTATTTTTTCCAGTTTGTTCGTGCCCTTAAAAGTCGATGGTAGTTGGTTTCATTCTAATTAAGGATGTAAAGTTCGCCACAATACATTACGCACATTGTACAATGACAGAATAGCTGGAAAACCTCAAACACAATGCTCTTTTATTTTGAAAGATATCGAGATAAAGTGTTTGGTGCAAGTCATCTCCTTCTCAACAAGGCCATATGAGTAATAAATACATGTACACACCAGATATCGATGATCTTGATGAT